CTCAGGGTCAGTTGCGGAACTGCTGAGCCCTGTGAACTTTTTATTTGTGGAGGCTGCTCTGCTTCAGTCTGTATAACGTAATTCATAGAAACACAACTCCTTAATTTTGCAAGTGAAATAGTGACTAATTGTTAGGATTTAATCATCTCACAGATTAATAAAACTGTGAGAAAATTAAATATAATTTCTTTCCAGTGCTGTCAAGTTGTGTGATTTTTATAGAGAGACATTTGATGTTCAGTGTGTTCCTTACAGACCTAATTCTTTGAAGTAGAGGGTTGTTTTTTGTTTTAAAAAGCAAGATATAACAGGAGCTAAGACTGAAAGTATGTCAGGTATAACCTGAAGACTCAAAGAGCAAGAATAGCTGTTAAAAAAACTCTCACATTTTTTAATTATGATTTCATTATGTCTTTTTAAAAACCATTCTCGTGGCTGCTGGGGAACTTGGTAAATAGGTGTTAGAAGCTCACTCTGGCAGCACTGGTTTTACATGCACTGTATTGTTTTCCACACTATTTATGTCAGTGCAGAGCATGGTAATGAGGTGTTGTTTTGACTTCCCTTGCCCCGAAGCTGTTCTTGAGTCAGATGGCTCTGGGGCAGTGTATTTTAAATTATGGAAATAGTATAAAGTACTAAACAATCTTTTTTAAAAAAAAAAAAAAAAATTTTTTTAGAGCCAAGGGGGAGAAAATACGGAGATACTATCCTTTTTTTTTTTTCTTTTTAGATATTATAAAAACTTATGAAGCAATGCCTAAACTTGAGGCCAGTTTTGACTAGATGGTGTCCTTAAAATAACTGCCTTTAGTGATAAGACCAAAAGAGCTTTTCGTAGTGTATCTGGCACTAGGAGGTCAATTGCATGCAGTAGTGGTGACACCAGACCTTCAAAGTTGTTCTTTTCACTAAAGTCTCAGCCCATCCTCTGGAGGCAGCAAGCAGGGAGGGGAGACCGAGTGTATCATCTCCTCGTTGTGCCCATCTGCCTGGGACTTCTCCCTGTGCCCCCAAGACATTGTCTCTTTGCAAAGATCCACTTTCCCTTCTAGCCCTTCGTTGAGTCTCTGAAGGGCCATGTGTTAAGGACACCTTGTAAACACCCCAGCAATTGCTCTGCAATGGCAGCTAGGATTTCTTTCTCAAAGTCAATGGCTGCTGCACATTATATTTCTTACAAAAAAAAGAGAGTACTTTGCATTTGTGAATGTGTGAAATTCGCAGATCTGCTGACATTTCAGCTCCAGTTTAAAGCTGGTTCTGACTTAGACTAGAAACTGTCAAAGAAAACCAAAGTGATAAAGCAAGTTGTCTGTGATTCAGTGAATGAAAAATCATTTTCTCTGAGAAAACAATGATTCTTGCCTTGACATGGTGTGAAAGACCTGTTTCACTGGCAAAGTCTCGTTTTGAGATGTAAGCTCAAGACCTTCCTGTTTCCAGCACTCAGAGATGACTATAGTGTGGATGGCAAAGACGGGAACTGGAGTCCTCCAGCCTTTTTGATCATATTTTATTTTGATCAATGTTTTTTTTGCCTCTCTCAATTTCCATGACAACTCTAATTGACAAATGTATTTTTCATTATGTTGACAAAAATAGCCATGCTACACAGGTTGATGTGTAGAACCCATCTGCTGTCCCAATCTACAAAAAAAAATATTCCTGGTGCTTGGAAACAGTGACATGTTATTGGTGGTCTAAGGTTCTTGGAAAATTTCACAGCAGAGGTGTTGAAAATCAATTAATATTCACAGAAAGAATACTGATTGAGATAGCTTTCACTGCACCAGCTTTTAAATAGCAGCATCTCTCTCTTATTAATACCGTCACTCTTAATAAATGCAATTAAAACTGTTGACTAATGACAATTTTAGTGTTAATTTATATAATACAGACTTTATACTTGCAATTAGATCTTTCTTGATTCTGCAACATGTTGTTCAGGGAGAGAGAGACTAGCATCTCTGATTACATGTCTGTCATTTAGTAAGAAGAAAGCAATTTTTCAGAGTCTCCCTTGTTAACATGAACCCAGAGATTCCTCAAAGCAGCAGAAGCCAAAGTTCTGAAGTGATATTTTAAGTAAGTCACTTAAAAAGTCAACAGTGTTGGTATGTTTTCTATAAGCACTTGCACTGAAGAATCCACTGAATTCAACATTTGCCATTGTATTGTGTTCGTCTATGAGAGGTGTATCCGATATATATTTTGCTGCAAGTGCAAGGTTTAGGCAGATCAGAATACATGGCATTGTTCCTGTGAATTTCAGTTTCTCATTTTCTGTGCTCTGGTTTCTAGTTTTCTACAGAAAGCAGGATATGGCACTGAGTTTGGAGCAAGTACTTCTGTCACTGACATTTCTCCATGTTAGTGCTGATCCACTCATGGGGAAAACTGCTTTCCTCACACACTTCTTCACGAAATTCTCAGGATCTCTGGGAGTTTGGCATGGAGATGGTCAGCATCAGATTATTCAGTCCATGATGTAGCTCTCAAGTAGTATTGCAAGCACTCTGCTCTTATCTGTGCCTTTTGTGGAGGTATTGATGAAATTGTGGCTGCGGGAAAGGCTTGATTTGTTGCAGAAGCGTTTACAGTAATATCTTCAAGTACTCCTCCGCCTAGAGAAGCTCTAATTCTGTCCCTAGAGCATAACCTGTGAGGAAAGGTGGAGGGATTTGTCCAGCTACAAGATGACAGAGCCAAACTCTCCTTGTTATTGGCAGTGAATGTAAGAAGGATCAACCGTGACAAATTGCAGGTAGGGAGGTTCAGCTTGAATGTACTAGAAAAAACCCCAAACACTTCTTCTACAGCTGAACACTCAGAAAGGCTGAAAGCACATTTTGGTAACCAAATTCATGGCTGACCTGACCCAGTGCTAGCAGCGGTCCTAGCCCAAGCACGAGATTGGACTAGACACCTCCAGAGGTTTCTTCCAACCGTTGCTTCTGTGATACTGTGAGCATATATTCGACAACTGTCCTGGGTCAATGGCACCCGCTGGGAACAGCCTTACATTAACTCATTTGTTGTAAGAAGCCCCTTTTTCCGATGCCTGCCTTCCTTTTGTTCACCCTCTGGGTTGAAGTACGGCTTCTAACTAAATTCAACCCATTAGAAGGACCAAAGTTTTACACTGCTCTTGTCTTCTCCTTGGGAAGCCTTTCCAGAGGGAAAGCACGGCTTTCCTGCAGCTTTTAGAGCGGAGTAGCCTTCAGTGTCTTCTGCCTCATTTGCAGCAACGTCGTACCCAAGACAACCTCTCAGCACTTCTGTCAGGGCATATGCATGACTTTCAACACCCTTTGGCAAGTGTGTAGTTTTTCAGTTGATCTGAACAAGGTGTGGCACCAGCATCTCTCAAGGAGCTTTCTCAGTTGTTTTCCATAGCGGAGCTGTATGGGATGGGAGCTGGAGCATTGATGGTGCGGAACACCTCTGCCCGTCAAGCAGCTTCTGCTTTGCTCTGAGTGTGTCCTTCTGTTTCTGTAGAAAATAGCTCATTCACTGTCTTTTATACTTCACTTATCTTTTCCACTTCATGTTCAACTGCTTACAGCTTCAGATTATGCAAAATTCTCTGAAGATGTTTGTTTCAGCGAGAATTTTGTTTGAAATCCAGAAGAACCTTACAAGCTGTGCAATGTGTTTTGTCACCACTTGTATGAAAGATAATTTGGGTTCTTTACTACTCTGCATAACATTTATAGTCACCACTTTCTAGCTACAAAATCTAGCTACATTTTCATTGTAATTATCATTTATTTACTGCCTTGCTCAGCTGTTCTTTGGGGCATTCTTCAGCTACCTGTTTCTGCTATAGACTTGCAGCTCTGAGAAGTTAATCTCTGCATGCGTTTGGCAAGTATAAATCTGAGTGATTTGATTTTTACAATGGCACAGTATGGTATGCATGCTTGTACAAAGAAAGCACCCACCCGTTTACATTTTGTACTATGTTTGTTGAGATTTGTGGCTCTGTGGTCACCACGACTGTAGGGTGAAGTTTCAGTGTTGTGGTTTCACAGAGTGTGTGTACCAGGCTATGCAGACAGAGAGGTATATGCCCAGAACAGGGGGAGAAAAATAACTGCATGTGTATAAAGATGAAGATAATCAATATTCCAACTGTGAAATCTCTTAAGAAACCAGTTTGGGTGAGCATGGCATGCCTGAGTCTCTGTTTAGCTTTGGATACTGAGCACCCTGGATACAAAAGCACATTTTTCCATCAGTTGCGATTTTTGCTGCGCAATTCTCTTTGTGTCTGTTGAAGAAGTAAGGATGCTGTTTGCAGACTTGCAGCTCCTGGGAATGCCAGTAATGTGCTCTGCTGTCAGACATGGGCTCAAAATTTCCAGCTCCCACCCAAATCAGGCATTTCTGGGATAACTGACAGTAGCAAGTGCTTGTCACCTGAGATTTTTCAGTTCTGCTTTCAAAACAGGAGAGCAGATTTCTTCTTGCTTTGGGTTGTGGAGAACTGCGTGGTGGATGATGCCAAATTCTTTCGTCCTCTCCTGTATTGTCACTTCCAGACTCCCATGTCTCAGCGACTGTGCTGCAGGGAAGAAGGCCTGGATGCCGCGTGTGGCTTCACTGGCTGGGGAAGGGCTTTGTAGTGATGCGGGTGAGAGCGTCAGGGCAGGCTGTGTTCGATGCAGCGTGATTTGAGAGCTGACGTTCTGTGGGCAGCCTTGCGACAATTTTCAGTTCAGAAGACCTTCCGCAAGTATGAAACTGTCCTCAGTCGTCCTTTTCTGTGGCCTTGCAAATGGGCTACGTTGAGTCGTGTTCCTGTGACAATGTGCTGACCACAGAGTTGGGAAAAGGAGAATGGACAAAGTCTCACCCTGGCGGGTTTCTGCAGTGGTTCCTGGGCTCCAGCTGTGACCCTTCTGGTGGAGCAAAACATGAGCAGTCAGTAATGCTAGAAAAACTGTTCAGAGGCGTGTAGGATTGTTCTAGAGACCTTCCTTGAATTTTTCCAGGCTCTCTCATCCATGGAGGAATTCAGAAACCTGGATCGGGATATTGAGGGGTCTGCAAAACGGTGGAAGAAATTTGTTGAATCTGAGTGTCCTGAAAAAGAGAAGTTCCCTCAGGAATGGAAGAACAAGTCAGCTCTGCAGCGCCTGTGCATAATGAGAGCCATCCGACCCGATCGTATGATCTACGCTGTCAGGTACGGGCACTTCTCTACTATCTCCATAATGCTCGCTCTTAGCAGGCAACTTTGGGTCTGCGTTTTCTAGGGAACAGGGGTAATTCAGGAATATGTTTAGATTTATTTATTATACAATGAAAGTTCTGCAAAATGATTTCCTATAAAGGAATCTACTGAATGAGTCATCTCTGAACTCTGCAAGAGAGTCAGCACATTCCATTTAACTGGAATTTCTTGCTTAGGGAGATCTAATCCGAATATCACCAATAGCGATGGAGCAGTGTAACTAGCCCTGGGTGAGGACCAGACATGCCAAGTCAGAAATGAGCATCATCATACGGGTGTTACACATCTGCTAGAATCTTTTTCTGATCAATACTTCTGGCGTACATTAAGGTCGATTTTAGTTACCAAATCCTTTATGGCTGTTCCTTCAGCACAAGAATGAAGTGTAGAAGTAAAGGAAAGTCTTACAGAGATTTTCTTTCCTTTTCTTTTTTTTTTTTTTTCTGTAAAATGCAAAATTTATGTGATGCTGGTTCTGAGAGTTGTAGTTGTAAATTATGTAGCGAAGGTAACTAGACGAGTCTAAACTTTATGAAGGTATGCAACAGCAGTGTGCTTGTTCCAGGAGAAACTAAAGGTCTTTCACTCCATTAGGACTTGTTTTTTCCTTCTCTGTCGTTGTAGTCTATGATTTGACATTTCTCCAACGTCTCTCATGCTACTGCCTCTCAAATAGTTTATATTGCTCCACCATCTGGCATGTGTGTGTATATGGGTGCATGTAACAGATTGTATTACTCAGCGTATGAACTAGATTTCTCTTTGTGCTTCAAAATTCACAGAAAAATGCAGACAAGACTGAGTGAAGTCTCCCTATGGTCAATGCTATGATGTTCTATTACGTTAAATACTATAATTTATCATGATCATACCATTCTAAATCATCTTCTTTTTCGTTCCTTACTCTTCCTTACTCCCAGGACTGGATTCTCTATGTATTCTCTTAGCTGAAAAGACTGTTTTTCCTGTTGTTGTTTAGTTCGAGTAAAATAAGCTCTTGCCTTTCTGTGCTTTTAAGTATATTTCATTTAAACAAGTTTAATTAATTTCTTTCAATCAAAATGACAGTACTCACATAGCTCAAAAATTACTAGAACGTAAAGTTTCAACACTTTTCAGATGTCTCTATTAGGAAAGGGTAAGGGAACACAAGTTCAAAAGCTTGGCTGGATATTTTTGGGGGCTGGACATGTCAAGCTTTTCTGTTTGCACAAGGGTATTTGAAAGTTTTTTTTGTTTTGTTTCTTATCTAGAAGTAGGTTAGAACATAAACATGTGCAAAAAATAACATTTCACAGAGCCTTCCCCAAGACTTTGTAGATGTTTGTGACTAAAATTCTTCCTGAAGTTTAGGATGGTCAGGCATTAGGCCCAAAAGGCTTATCTCATACCCCAAAAGTGAATGTGAAGTTGTTAGTGGTAATAATGACGGTCAAAATGTGTTTGAATTCCGGGTTCCCCCTTGATAGTACAAAACTCCTCAAACCTTTCTTCAGCCAGCAGTCTGGGTAAGACAGATACTGTTCTCTTAGTGAGGAAGTTTACTTTTCCTAAGAGGTCCAGCTCTCTGGAAAATACATGAGTCTGTTCGTCTGTCCTCGCGTCAGTCAGTGAAGTCTCATACTCTGACGTAGGAAGGGAAAGGTCTTTGGATTGAGCTGAACACAGCTTTCCTGACAGCCACCACACAGAAGGCTAATGGTCATCTGGTGTCTTGTTTTCCTAAGCACTGTCAAAGCTCTCTTGTGTCTGTGAGCATTCAAAAAGCAGGGGATCTTGTAGAGCACTGGGGAGCTTCAAACTCTGACCATGAGGACTTCAGCCTCAACGTCCGTGTTTCACCAGTAGTGTTTCAAGATCACGTGCGTATTAACAAATCTATCAAATTTTACGTACTGCAATGTCGTTGGATCCCACAGGATGTTTCGCAGTTTTCAACTTGCAAATCTCTTCCTTCTGTTGGCAGTTAAATCTGCCAACACTAAATACCTTACTGATGATCAGTGGGTATTACTACTAGTCCGAACCTTCCTGTCTCTCTGAGAGTCTTGATAAGTACTTGAGTGCATTTTGGAAGTCAAGGGTAGCCTAAACACAGGTGACTAGGGGTATTTTAGATGCCCTAGAACATTGCTACCTCATTTCCAGCTGCTGTTCAGAAAGGTGCAAGACGCTTTGTATCCCATGTCATACATGCCAGTTCCATGAAGACAGTCTAGGAAGCTCTTTGGTATCTAAAATGATCCCCCCACCCCTGTACAGGCTTCTTGCATTTCCCTGTTTTGGAAGGTAAGTTTTTCAGCCACTCTTCATAGCAGATCACTGGGAATATCTGCACAGGCTGTTTTATTCCCTAGGTCTGAGGAGCCAATAGGAGAAACCACTTTATCCTGACTTGCTTCTTAGAGCTTAAGTGGGGGCAGTGCTCTATTGTCCATCACCAAGAACCATAATTTCCTCAAGAGAGATTTTCCAGTGTAAATACCTATTTCATCTTTCAGCATTATTGAAGAACATCAGCAAGGATCTTCTTGCAAAGGCTTGTGTCCCATGCTTCCATATCCACAGTGAGGTCAGATCAGTCAAGCAGCTACTAGCAAGGCATGACCTGGTCATGGTGAAGTCCTTCCAAAAGCACTGGTACTTCTGCCTTGAGGGACAGACCATTGAAACAATGCGGAAGGACTAAGAACTCTGGTAGCTGGCGCCTCCAGCCATGGTTATGACACTTACAGGGCCTCTTCAGATAAAGGATCTTAGGCAGCTGTGGCTTCATATAACCCAGAAAAGCTGTAAGCCAGTTTTTTGTCTTGCAGGGCATTTTTGCTTTTTGTTCTGGCACCATTTCTCAAATTCTACAGCTTATGCTGTGAACCACCCCTGTGAATACTTTGTTTGACAGACAGCAAGCGTAGGGACTCCTCCAGTTCTGTCTCTGAAGGCAGGCCTTCCTTTCCTGCATGTGTAGTCCATTTCAAAGTCTCCAAGTCACATTAGTTGTGTTTCTGAATCTCCGGGGCATTATTTCATAGAGCTGAGACTTGATGCAAGAAACAAGAATGTTGTGACCTTGTAACTGAGGAACTTTTTAAGGTTTTGTGGACTGCAGCCTTCCAGCAGCTCTTTAGTCAAATCTTGACCCAGAACAGAAAAATCTACTTGAAAGAGGTACCAAAGAAAGTGGAATTTTTTATTTTGTAATCCCTTAAACATTTCTATTCCAACTGCCTTTCACTAGTCCTTGAAGGAGACTCCCAGCTGTCTTAGAAATAATTTGGCTACCTTATTCTGATATCATCTACCAGGTGAAAACTGGCCGATTTTTTTCCTTCCCCGTGGTACTGAGGTTTTCAAAAGGCTGAGTCATGTAGCTACGCTCGAAGAGTAACTGCTAATTCCTGGGGTTTGAATCCTACCTTTGAATCAATGTTCACTGAATCCTCTTTTTCTAAAGCAGTGCTTTTGGAAGCTCACCCTGGGGAAATTCAGCCTGGGTGTTCTCCATGTGCTGCATTCTGTTCAGGCAGCTGCTGTGGGGCTGAGTTTTTACTGTTCACTCAGTTATATTTTTCCCTGTGACTCTCATGCAGAGGTGAAGATACATGCGCTAGATATTCTCAGAGCTCTTCCCTTTTATCTTTCCAGAACAAAGTAATTTTGTAAATCGTCTGGACTTTTTGTGACTTTTGATGATAAATCTAAAAGAATCCTGTCTCCTCTCAAAGGCTATATTGATTACAAAGTACACAGCAGTTTTCTATACATTAATTTATTTCTTCTCTCCTGAGATACCTTTGTCAGAATCGAGCCAGTACTTGTATAGACCTTCTGAATACAGCATTGGGCTGGTAGGTCTCACTGTTCTCCTTCTCACTTCCCATCCTTTGTCAGATATTGGTGTGCCGTGTGTCATTTTTCCCCTGTAAAAAGTGCCAAACATTGCTACTGAGTGGTAACTCCAGAACCCCAGCTTCAAGATCCTCTCTAAAATTATCTCATTACCATTTTTTTCGTTTAGTTTCTAATTTATTCGAATCAGCAAAATCAAAACTAATTGATTGTTTTTTGCAGGGGAATCTGTCTTTTTTTGAACAATAGTAGACTGGCAAACCTTTTTTCTTTCTGGCAGAGATTTTGTAGAAGAAAAGCTTGGCAGTAAATATGTGGTAGGGAGATCCCTGGATTTTGCAACAACCTTTGAAGAATCAGGACCTGCAACACCGATGTTTTTTATCCTGTCCCCAGGAGTCGACCCGCTGAAGGATGTGGAAAAACAAGGTAAATAAGGCTTACCACAGCATGGCTTTTTATCTTCTGTGTAATTATCTTGGCCTGATAGTCTCGTTCTGGGTTTTTTTTTTTCCTCGTCTCTTTGTAGATAACGGAGTAATCTGTTAAAAATAGATAATTGTGAGAGGATGTGATTATTTTGGTTGTTTTTTTTTTTTTTCTTAAAGGTTTCTGGATTTTCATTTGAAGTTAAAATTAAACTTGTCTCTTTCCTGCATTGCTTGGTTTCCCAATGTGGTTCACACTGCTACAATTTCTGAGTTGGTCTTGTACACGACCTATAATTTACGTCAGAGACATCTAATATGCTGTCAGATAGCTTGCTTTTTGCCAAGAAAGGTTGGACCAGATGATCCTTGAGGTCCTTTCCGACCTGGTATTCTATGAGTCTATGATAGCTAAAAATAAGCAACAGCTCCCTGTAACAGTCTGATGGCTAGTGGCAGTTTCCATTTTTTTCCAGTTTAATCCCATCCTTCCTGACTTGGTTTTGGTGATGATGGTCAGATATAGCGCTGTCAGCTGGCTTCAAAGCCTAAGGGGCTTCTCTAAGGTGCCTTATTTTAGAAGGCAGTGATTGCTGTTGTGCACCGACCGCTATAGTCAGTTCCTGAGCTCTAAAGTTGCCAATTTGCAGAATTTGTTCTGGATCTCAGCTCCACTGTGGAAGAATTCCCATTTTCAGCCTGAACAGGGCGATTACAGTAGGTCTGGAAATGGGGTCCCTTCTGACTGTTGAACAGAGGTAACTGCAGTCACTTCTTTTGAGACTCTTACAGCGGAGGGGTCAGATGCCTTTGGGTCCTGCTTTAGGGCTTCTCCATGTTGCCCTTCTGCTCATCAGATGTCTTTGCTCCTTCTCCAGCAATGTGCCCCATATATCTCCAAGACCATGACTTGTGGTCAAGCCCATACGCTCACGGCAGTGTGGAGTATGGTGTATTTAAACTGTGTGAATTACATGCCAGACTACCAGAGCAGAGCTGCTGGCTGGTTTCTAGCAGGCGGGTCTCCAGGCTAAACATCAGCAAGACTGGCAGCCCCAGCAGAGAAATCAGGGAAACACTGAACTAAGCCCTCATCCAGGCAAGTGGGGGAAGAACACTGACCTATGGATTTCTTTTCCTCTCTATGATGCACCTTCTGGGTCATCCCAAAATAGTGTTTGAGTCAGTCACAAGCAGCTTTCAGAGGTGTGAAAGCCCAGTGCAGCCTGAGCCACAGGCCACATTGCAGGTCTCAGTCCTGGGGAGTTCCTGGGCTTTGCCTTGTGTTTTGTGCTCTTTCCACCCTGATACCAGGTCTCATTATTGTGAATTGAAGGGGACACCCCCCACACACCCCCCGCCGAGGTCCTGTCATGTGCCTGGCTTCCTTTTGGAGCCACGTCAGTGATCCTGTCTCTCAATGTGTTATTTTCTTGTATAGGAAATGAAGCACTAAATCCAACCATGAATGGTTTAACTGGAATTGTAAAGATGAGTGTAGCTGAGCACATGGAGTTAGTCAGCCAGAAAAGTTACAGCAAGTAAAAGTGAAAAAAATCTAATGGAATAAAACCGTTGCTTCGGTGCAGCTGCACTGGCCTTAACGCCTGCCTTGCTGTGCTTTGGAGTGGATTCACTACTCGGTATTTTCTCTTCTCTTCATTAGGTTTTACGAAAGTACAAGGCTGGCTAGGTAATTCTTGTGAATAGAAGACGATAGCTTTTTCCAGGTGCTGCCCACTCATGGGACCTTTCCTTGGCAGCATGGGGAGGACCCTGTAGCAAACACTGTTGGGCTCAGAAAGCTTCCCCACCTCCCTGGGGCAGCCTGACTGCACCATCCCCTCTCATCCCCAAGCCAGCAAGGAAGGAAGAAGGCTGGCATTGTCTTTGTGAGGCAGCCAGCGCAGACTCACTTGTATCCCTCTGCAGTCCTGTTCTTATCTGAAGTGGAACTAAAACTGATATTAATTTTATTATTAATCACCTGGTGTGGGATAGTACCCTGCCTTCTGCAAATTTACCCCATCCCTTCTTGATAGGGTGGGTATCGAAGGCAGAGGATGAGATTAGCACCTCTCAAAGCTGGCAGCCACCAGAGATGATGAGAAAGAAAACTGGAAACTCTCAAATATGGGGAGAGCTGTATCCCAAGGTGTTGCAGTAGTAAGGCTAAGCAGAGAGCTCGAGCAAACTGGAAGAGTTTGGAAGTTTGCTTTACTTATGGCCATCTGTTTCCAGTCTTGTACCAAGAGCTTGCAAGACCAATCTTTTCCTTATTTTACTATAAAACTTCCCTGCTTTTAGCAGAAATCAGGAATTAAGGGTGCACCATCTGCGTGAAGGCAAATCTGCGTGCAGGGATCAGTGTAGGCAATCCCAAGGGATCAGCACGTGGGGACATGTGTACTGACTCCTCAGCTTACTCGAATGCGTCCTACTGTGATGTGTGGAGCCAATGTGGATGTTTGTCAGGCTGCTTCCCTCCTTCCCTCAAGCAGCACAACTGGTGCTTGTCTTCCGAGGACCACACAGCAGATGGCTTGCTCAAGGTAGTTGCTTTTCCTGTGAGACAAGGAGCAACTGGTGTCCTCTATCTTTGGACGACAGACAGATTCAGAAAACTAAATGGGAGATCTTTAGCCCTGATCACTTAAAGGATCTGAGGCACTGGGATGCCACAGAGGAACTGGGGAGTCCAAAGGAGTAATACAGACTAAATGAAGGAGCACTAAATAGCTGCCGTCCTTCCTCCAGAGCAGGATTGTAAATCACATGGGTTTTGGGGTTCCCACCCTGCGCCATGCAGAGAGGGATGTAGAAGGGACTGTAGGAGATGGTCTGCAGTGGCTCCTGGAGCACCCCTTCCCATGGACTCTGCTGCAGTCCACTGACCATGGGCCTTCCCACACGCGTTGTGGTGCGCCCAGAGGCAACTCCGCGCCTGCCAAAGCCCATGGTAGTCCATACGAAATCCAGAGGGCTGACTAACCTCCAGATCCAAGAAACCTGGGAGGCCACAGATTTCATTTCAGCTGCCTTCTCAAAGCTGAAGGGGTTCCTAACCTTACTGCTGGTTCTAGCATGCATTGCAGGGCGCATTTCCCCACCGAACGATGTCTTGTTCAAAGCCTATTTA